AGCTTCCACACAAAGAAAGACATTTTATCACTCTAGACGGTCAACAAAACCCAAGATATGGTGTGTCGCAGCAGGTATCAACTGGTAAGTGTTGACACAGTGTAGAAGACAGTCTTTCAAAAGCATCATTTCTGCTTTGTTTCCTATGCATGGTTCTGTGAACATTGCACTCAAGTTTTTTTTCTATGAACCTTGATAACACTAAAAAACCCCCCAGATGCTCTTTACGATTTTGAGCTCAGTACTTCCCGTAAGGGTAACTGCATGATTCTAGTCATGATATCATCTCTGAATCCCAGCAAAACAGAAAACTAGGGTAGATATATCATTCTCCTCCTGGTAAGGGAGAGTTCATTGCACATGTAGACTGCTGTAGTAGATGGAAAGTAGCTGTAAGAAACCTAACAAAATATGAAATGCAGGCTAGAAATAAAAATGAGTAACTACTAAATTTGTCATTCTTAGGGGAAAAAATCAAGTACACAACATTTGCAAGCAGCAATTTTATTCAGAATCCCCAAGGTGTAGTAGTACTATTGAAAATGTCCCACTTAGGCAAGCTTCACTGCTTTTAAATGGCAGAAAAAGTCAGTGAACATCTGGCTGAGATCTATTATCTGCATAATCCTAACACTGCTTTTCTCCCCTCATTCCGTTATCCAGAGGCTCTATCTTCTTAGCAGTATTTCTTTATCTTTGGTCTCCATAGGCTTTTCCATCTTCCAGGGACAAAGAAGACTTGGCTTCAAATGCCACCATTCAATGACAAGTACTAAGTGTGGGGGCCATCTATATGTCCTTGAATTTCAATGTGGCTGACAGAAATCAGAATATCAGAAATAACTATAGGAATTGGGATATTAGCAGTAATAGAATTTAATTGATTTTATGATCTTAACTTACACGGGATTTACAGAGGCAGCTATATACCAATGATTAGATGGATCTTTTTGCTGTTTTATAGAAGTATTTACATTTTGTATTTACAGATAGTGTTCACTTAGTATGGACATTGGGCTTTTGTATCTGGTAAGTTTTCATATTTTTCTTTAAAATAATCCTTCCCTCACTAAAGAATGTAATCATGATGTCTGCACAATCAAATTTTAATCTAGTTAGTTTTGTTTATTCAGCTATTGCAGCACATCAAAGTGAGATCTCAAGTAGAGCAATTATTCTGAAGGAAGGGTGTCTAGCTCTTAGAAACTGATATCGCATATATTCTACTTGTTATTCAGGGTTTTTACTAGCTTAGGTATCTGCCTGGACTTGACAAGCACAAACACGAATCAAATGACACAATAAATAATATTGCTATTTGAGGGAGATGAGAAAAAACAGAAAAGCCATAATTAATTCCTAAAGAACAACCATAACAATTTGTAGCCTTTTTCCTTCTGGGGT